AATAAAAAAATAATGGTAAAATAAAGTAATGTAGAATACTTTGGATCACGTAGTACACTGTTTACTTGAGAAATCACCGAAAATTAAAAACTGCCGGGCATTTAGGAAATCGAAGACCGTGCCCGGCTGCCGGGCATTTAGCCACTTCACATTAAAATAAACACGAAATGTATTTACTGCCAAAGTCTTAATGTTTCTCTACTCTATTTCGCCTATAATCACCTGTAAATGCCAGTCTAGTGTATATATTTATGTGTCGGTGTGCAGCAGCTATCGTGCAGTGTACTTGTGTGTTGCAGATGAGCATTTGACCGGCATTTACAGGTGATTATAGGTGAAATAGAGTAGGGAAACATTAAGACTTTGGTAGTAAATACATTTCGTGTTTATTTACCATTATTTTTTATATTGAGACGTTCCAAGTGCCTGTGGGTGTGCGTGCGTGCGTGCGTGCGTGCTTGCGTGCGTGTGTGGTGATAACTGTGATAAATCGCACTAACCTTCAGTTTTCATGGGTTGTTTTACTAGACAGCTGCAACTACTCATATTTTTGCACATTTATGTTCTTACCCATCACTGTCTCTTCCTCCCCTCCACTTCTCCCCTATTTTTGTTCCTCTCCTGCCCCCTGTCCTTCCATAGCATTGTGGTCACACACACACGCACGCATGCACGCACGATATGTACATCTCTTCATCAGGTAATTCAGCAGACATACTGATTTTTACTTATAATATATATATATATATATAGATATATAGATAGATAGATACTAAGATAGATAGATCGATACATGTACATACATCTAGATGTATAGACAGGGTGCGAAATTAACACGAGTCCAGAGTCAAATACTCCCTGATTATCAGTCGGACTCCCTGATTTGACATATGCAGGAGTCCGTGTGACTCCCTGAAAATTCTGCTATACTACCTAGTTCAGGGGTGGGCAAACTTTTCAAAGCGAGGGCCGCATCAGTGGGCCATGAAAAGTCAAAGGGCCGCACCTTTTAAAATCGGGGGGGGGGGGGTTGCGCTCTAAGATAATACGTGCGTTTCGCCTCAAGGGCACCATCTCTGGACCATAATTAGCTGAAATGGCGTTGCAGAGCGAACCAGAGACAATAGAACACTAATCTGTATGACACTGAAAAAGTCAGCCTCGGTTCAAACACAAACATGTTGACTTTCACAAAAATTTATTGATTTAAAAAAAAAATATTTTATGTTATTTTTATTTTATTTTATTTTATTTTTTTATTTGCTGCAGGCTTCCGCGGGCCGCACAGAACCCCGGAGAGGGCCGCATGCGGCCCGCGGGCCGCAGTTTGCCCACCCCTGTCCTAGTTAGTTCCAGAGCACGGCCTCGCGGAATTGCCGTATTTTTTCAGCAAATGTCCAAAGACAATTTGGCAGACGTGCAACCGCATGAATCTTCAAAATAAGCACACACGTTATTGTTAATATCATTAGTTTTGAACTACAGACTGCGGACTCCCTCATTTTGCTGCGGACTACCTCCTTTTGATGGCAGTGACCATTTCTACCCCTGTATAGATATATATTTCTCTCTCTTTCTCTGCCCTCCCCTTGTAATTATTGCTATGAGTGGCATTTGGTTTGACGTATTTTAGACAAGGTCTCAAATGGATGAGGCTGACGACCAGCCATCACAGACAGCGGGATTGGTGGCGCCCCCTAATGCCGAGTTGAGTAGCGAAGTCGCCACCGGTACCCTGCCACAATCCTCCGCTGCCGGTAAGAAGCAATCGTTGCCCGTGTTTGCATTGGCGGGCGTCCCATCAAATCTTATCTTCCCTTGCACGTATTCTTTTCGAACGCGTATGATGTCTGTCGCGGTTACTTCCGGCTACGCGCGTAGAACCGAGTTAATCAAAATAGGGTGAAGTGCGCACTGTACAAAGTACGGAAACAGCTTAATCCCGATCACGCAAGGTCAGTAGTTTACAAACTGTCGTTGCTGTTCTGCTGAGTAATAGACCCTGACCACGGTTGTGCGCTTCCTAGTTCTGCCGGCGCATATGTAAGCTACCGTTGTCGTAGCATTTTACCGTATTGTTTCTGAACCGAGGAGAGTGGTCGCATTTAATTCTTCGATCTTCCAGCAGGTGGAGCTCACGAGGGGGGAGGAGGAGAGGCGGCAGACACAGTGTCGTCGTCGACGGCAACAACGACGGCAGAATTCCAGCCTTACCGATGCATCAACGCTGACACGTTCTTACACGCACAGTCAGCCTCGTCAGAGGTAGTAGTCTCACGTGTCTACCCCGAGTCTCACTCGTAGCGTTGTCACGTGGTCTTTGCCTCTTTGTTTTAACGTCTGTGTGTACATCTCTCGGCTGCTCCTATGTGCGCACAGACGTCGGTGAAATTAATTTTCTTCAAGTTGGAGCTGTGCCTGCCTCCCATATCCATCCCTGCAGGGCGTCAAGTTCCTATTTTTTCCTATTTTCTGGGCAATTCCTATTTTCTCCTATTTTCTGGACAAATTC